GATCGAGGAAGGCTACAGAAGATGGAAAGATATCCCATGCTCATGGATTGGAAGAATCAACATAGTAAAAATGGCTATACTACCAAAAGCAATCTACATGTTTAATGCAATTCCCATCAAAATACCAATGATTTTCATCACAGAGATTGAAAAATCTACCATAAAGTTCATTTGGAAACACAAGAGACTGTGAATAGCCAAGGCAATACTCAGCAAAAAGAGCAATGCTGGCGGTATCACAATACCTGACTTCAAACTATATTACAAGGCAATAACAATAAAAACAGCATGGTACTGGCTGTTTTTACAGAGGACCCGGATATGAATCCACACAGCTATACTCACTTCATTTTTGACAAAGGGATGAAAAACATACAATGGAGAAAAGACAGTCTCTTCAACAAATGCTGCTGGGAAAAGTGGTTATCTATCTGCAAGAAACTAAAACTAGATCCATGTCTATCACCCTGTACTAGTATCAACTCAAAATGGATCAAGGACCTTAATATCAGACCCGAAATTGTGAAGTTAGTATAGGAAGGAGCAGGAAACACTCTGGAACTAATAGGTATAGGCAAGGACTTCCTCAATAGAACCCCAGCAGCCCAGCAACTAAGAGAAAGAATGGACAAATGGGACTTCGTAAATTGAAAAGCTTCTACACAACAAAAGAAATGGTCTCTAAACTAAAGAGACCACCCACAGAATGGGAGAAAATATTTGCTAGCTATACATCAGATAAAGGACTGATAACCAGAATATACAGGGAACTTAAGAAACTAAACTCTCCCAAAATCAATGAACCAATTAAGAAATGGGCAACTGAACTAAATAGAACTTTCTCAAAAGAAGAAATTCAAATGGCCAAAAAACACATGAAAAAATGCTCAGCATCTCTGGCCATAAAGGAAATGCAAATCAAAACCACACTAAGATTCCATCTCACCCGTCAGAACAGCCCTCATCAAAAACACCACCAACAACAGGTGTTGGCGAGGATGTGGGATAAAAGGAACCCTGGTACACTGCTGGTGAGAATGCAAAGCTGGTGTAACCACTCTGGAAAAAAATTTGGAGGCTTCTTAAAAATCTAAACACAGATCTACCATATGATCCAGCAATCCCACTCCTGGGGATATACCCAAAGGAATGCAACAAAGGTTACTCCAGAGGCACCTGCTCACCTATGTTTATTGCAGCACTATTCACAATAGCCAAGTTACGGAAACAGCCAAGATGCCCCACTACTGATGAATGGATCAAGAAAATGTGGTGTTTATACACAATGGAATTTTACTCAGCCAATAAGAAAAATGAAATCTTATCATTTGCAAGTAAATGGATGGAACTGGAGAACATCATTCTGAGTGAGGTTAGCCAGACTCAAAAGACCAAAAATCGTATGTTCTCCCTCATATGCAGTCTTTAGATCTAGGGCAAATACAGCAATGTTGTAGGACTTGGGTCACATGATAAGGGGAGAACATATACAGGAGGTACAGGGTTACATAGAAAACCCAAAACATGAAGAATTTGATGTTCCCACTCCAGAGGAATTAATACAGAATCCTTAAAGTGACAGTGGTCAACACAAGAGGGGGATCAGGAAGCAGTGAAAAGATCAGTTAGAGATGAATCAACCTGGGTTGTAACACATTTGTACATGAAAACAATGCTAGGAATCTCTCTGTATAGCTGCCCTTATCTCAACTAGCAAAAACGCTATGTCTTTCTTATTATTGCTTATTTCTACTCTTCAGCAGAACTGGAGAAAAGTGAAGAACAGATTTTGCCTGGAAGTGGGGGAGTGAGAGGGTGTGGGCAGGGGCAGGAAGGAGAAATGACCCAAACAATGTATGCAGATGTGAATGAATGAATAAGAAGAAGAAATGAATAGTTTATAACCAATAAATGATAGAAAAAAAGAAATATGCTAGAGGATTATTTTATTAAAATATTATATACATTTACTGAAATGTTACATCTGATATTTTCACCTATGTAAAATTAAAATGTTATCATTCAAAGTTAATGTTGGGCAGCATATAAAAAACAAGGCCCTTTCTTCAATCCCCAACATATATACGCAAGTAAATAGAGCAGTTAACTTGAAGACAAATCTGAAGAGATAATCAGAATTAACAGAGATAAAAAGTGAGAAAATGTTAAAGAGCAATTAACAAAACAGGGAGAAGGAAAATAAAGTTTGCCATACATCTAGAAAGAAATCCAGAATAAATGAATACAGAGAAAGGGAAAGCAAGGTTCAAAAACAGAATAGATAAGAATTTAATTCCAGAAATAAACATTAGTCCTCAGACTGAATAAGCAAAAGCAAACTGAGTCCTGATAAAACAAATAAAAATAAGTCTACTTCCTAGTGAACTCAACCTGCCAAGAATAAATTCTTCAGAAGAAAATCTTTAAAACAATGAGAAAAAGAGATTACTTCAAAGAAAAACCAGACTGACAACAGATTGAAAAAGTGTACATATAGAAAACAAAACTTAAGAATTATTTCCTCAGATCATTGTCAAGTTAGAATACTATACCTAGCAAGATGATTACAATTCAACAAATATTTATCAAACTGTACTATATGCCAGACTCTTCATAAGTGTTTGTAGTACAATGGGAAGTAAAAAAAGAAAAAGCCCCTGATCTGATGGAACTTACTTTCTGTAATTCTTTCAAGAATAAACATAAAAAAAGAAATCCTTAACTAGTCTCTGCGCCCCTGGTATCCCGAAATTTCCACCTAATGGCAACTAAAAAAGCTTAGAATGCTGAGTTTTCTGAAGTACTTATTTTTAATACCCTAAGCTTTCTTAATCAGTGGTACATGAAACTGCTGAATCTATATGGAAATTTGACTGTCTTTCTGTACATGAGCAGTTTTCTATTCTCAACCAGACAGTAAACTCCATGAATGTAAGGGCTGTGTTGCTTACCAGCATCTAGTACATTTAACTAAAACATTATAACACAAGGTCCTCAAGAAAAAAATTATTTTATCATTGAAATGAACTGATAAATATATCTCTGAAATATATTTCAGAGTACAAAATTCAAAAACCTAGGCAAGCACTCTACCACTTGAGTCATGCTTCTGGCCCTTTATGCTCTGGTTATTTTGGAGATTGAGTCTCATGTTTTACCCAGGCTTGCCCATCCTCCTGATCACACACCATCACACCTAACTGTTGGTTGAGAAGGGGTCTTGCTAACTATTTTCGCCCAGGCTGGCCTTAACCCCTGCTCCTCTTGATCTCAGCCTCCCAACCAGCTAAGATTATACGTGTGAGCCACAGGCACAAGGCTGGTGCTTAGCTGAATTTTTTAATGATCCCTATCAACTCTACTAAACAATTTTGAAATTTTTAATGTAAACATGGTTTTAAATATGAACTTGGTGGATCAAAGCAATTACATATATATTTTGAAGATAGCTATATATATAAATGTATATAAATAACATACATAAATAAATATGTATGTGGAGAAAGCATAAGGAAACCCACCAAACACTGTTTGAAAAGGGGGGGATGTGGGAGGGCAGTTAAGGGAATATTTTTTTTTTTTTTTTAACTTGGTATTTTAATTATAATACATGAAAACAGGTCATGTCCCTGATGTCCCATGACCGTTAAACTAGTCATAGTTTATTTATTTTTTTTTTTTCATTTTTCTTTTATTATTCATATGTGCATACAAGGCTTGGTTTATTTCTCCCCCCTGCCCCCACCCCCTCCCTTACCACCCACTCCACCCCCTCCCGCTCCCCCCCTCAATACCCAGCAGAAACTATTTTGCCCTTATCTCTAATTTTGTTGTAGAGAGAGTATAAGCAATAATAGGAAGGAACAAGGGGTTTTGCTGGTTGAGATAAGGATAGCTATACAGGGCATTGACTCACATTGATTTCCTGTGCGTGGGTGTTACCTTCTAGGTTAATTCTTTTTAATCTAACCTTTTCTCTAGTTCCTGGTCCCCTTTTCCTATTGGCCTCAGTTGCTTTAAGGTATCTGCTTTAGTTTCTCTGCATTAAGGGCAACAAATGCTAGCTAGTTTTTTAGGTGTCTTACCTATCCTCACCCCTCCCTTGTGTGCTCTCGCTTTTATCATGTGCTCATAGTCCAATCCACTTGTTCTGTTTGCCCTTGATCTAATGTCCACATATGAGGGAGAACATACGATTTTTGGTCTTTTGAGCCAGGCTAACCTCACTCAGAATGATGTTCTCCAATTCCATCCATTTACCAGTGAATGATAACATTTCGTTCTTCTTCATGGCTGCATAAAATTCCATTGTGTATAGATACCACATTTTCTTAATCCATTCGTCAGTACTGGATGATTCACTCAAAGTAAACATTTATGGAATTATCATAATGAAACCTTGTAGTATTAATGTATGCTAATGAAAAATAGTTCAGAAAAATAAAACACAGACTTGGCAAATCATTATGTATTTAGTATAAGTAGCAGAGTAAATAACACGAATTTCATTTCTGCAAACCTAGAAATTTAGAAGTGTACCTAATAACATTTTAAATGTTTTCAGTGTTTAAAAATAGCACCACTGTTGTTTTAATTTTTAAAAGGTACATTATGAAAACTCATCCTTAAATCATTTCTCCCATAAGAAATGACAACAGAGACAGAGTATGAAATTCAACATAGTATATATAGATTATATAACCTATCAAAAATGAAGCTTTCTAAGTTGAAAGAAAAAAAGAATCACAGAGAGCATGGGACAGTGAATCCCTTTCTCCTAAAAAAAAAAAAAAGTGAAAGTCAATCCTATACAACAGAAACAAACCAGATGTTATCAAGGTCTTTTAAACATTTATGTCCATCCTTTAAAACAAAAACAGGATATAGTCTCATATTCAAGTGGTTTTCCTTTTGCTTTTTTTTAAAGGAAACGTAATTTTAAAAAATAAAAGTAAAAGGCCTGTGGAAAAATCTCAAAGTTAAAAAAAAAAATTACTTACCAAGTTGGCCATATAAATTGTTAGCAGCCCTCTCCTGCAAATAATTTTAAAAAGAGAGAATAAGATTAAGTTTTGATCTGACTTAATAATCACCTTATCATTTTCTGTAATCTATCAAAAGAATTATGAGGTGTTTAGAAACCTATTAGTATCTTTACAAAATAGGTAACTTGTGCTGAATTAAGCTTTTAGTACCTTAATAGCTAGATCAAAACAGATTCTATACATCATTCAGTTAAGTGGTCATTAACTAAATGTTTTAATTAATATTGCCTATCATTACTTGTTATTAGGAAGAGTAGTGTAATTTGTTACTACTCTATTGTTTACGTTAGAGAATTTTTTTGAGACAGGGTTTTTCTCTATTGCCCAGGCTGCTCTAGAACTCCTGGTTTCAAGTGATCCTCCTGCCTCACCTCCAGGGCATCTGGGACTTCAGGTGGTGTCACTACACTCAGCTTATGCTACAGAATTTTAAATTTAGTAATAAGGAATCCTAAAGAACTCACCTTGCCAAAACTCAAGTCCAGAACAATTCTGACTAAGTGAAATTTTATTCAAAAACTTAGGTTTTCTATTTGTTTCATTTATAATCAACAGTTCATTTCATTACATGTCATTACAAATCATACTAAGTCACACTGGTCTTTTCTTCATTCTCAATAGAAAGTCGGGAAGTAAAGAAACTCTCTAATGCCAAAGGACAAACAAAAGTTTGATAGACACCTTACAGGAAAAAATTGAATTTTTATCAAAGTTATTTAATGAGAATTCAGGTTAAATAAAACATTAATAAGAACAGTTTACTTAACTTATACTGCATTTAAGAAATTAATGAAACACATCTTATTCTCCAGGAATGAAGTCTTAACATGTTTCAAGAGTCCAAAGGTAGAGTTCAAATAATAAACTCTGAAAATTACAGAACCTCATTTGAGTTTGAATGATAGATATTTTCAGTATTCAAAAGAAAAAATACAAAACAACTAGCAATATCAAATCACTCATTTAAATATAATGTCAGATCTGCATATCAATACTCTCAGTGAAGTCTTCTTGATGTATTCATATATAGTCCTGACTCTTCATCATTTAAAATGGGTTATTAACATGTGTAGTACTTCCAAAGACACATGGAGGCAGTATGATTTAATGGCACACTACTAGAAGAAAATCAGCGTTCTAGTTAACTTTACTTCTCTGGTACTCATTTTGTCATTAAAAAGAAGTGGGATTAGTTATCGGCTGACATTGTTTAAGTATAAAATTTGTTTAAAGAAAATGATTTACATTTATCTCCAATGTGTAAAATGTAGTACTGGACCTACTCTAGTTGTATGGGTAAGGGGATATAGATAGCTGTATATAGATAGCTTTTAGAGAATCTCCCTCCTCAGCAGATCCCAATGGACCTCAGCAAATCAACAGAACCTGACTGCTCCACCAGAAAGAATATAAAAATCACTGGCAAGTTCCTTTTCTGTCTTCTTTTCTATGACTTCTACATATGGGTTAAAATTCTTCTTATTACTCCTTTCCAATCTTGCCAGTTCCTATCAAATTCTAAATCAAAGACATTCTAATTTTACTTATTTTAAATAAATCATATGAAGAAAAATTAAAAATGAATATCCAAGAGTCACACACATACACAAAACAAAGTCAAATACTTCTCAAGTGACACCTATTTTTATCAAAGATTAGTTATAGGTGAAGAAAAATAATATTCTTCAATTGTAATTTCTAAAATAAAAATTTTCTGTGCTTTCAGTGATAGTCCCTGGTAATACATTTCACTGTAAAGTAAACTAAGATGTGATGCTATTTCAAAAACACTTTCTCCACTAAATTTTTTTCTATAACACTCAACAGTATGAAGCTTCAGCACTAGCTTCCATCTATCAGAAAACAAAACTATCTTTAAGTACAGGGAAAAGATGATTTTGTGTATGTTTACATTCCCACAAATGTACAAAAGGATCTGTATCTAAAAGGCACTAAACAAATGACTGTGATTCCTAGACACATAACTATCAAAGTAATTCTAGAAACCTAGCCTTATTAAAAAAAAAGAAAGCCTAGTACAGCCAGGTTTTTTAGACATATAACCCCAAAGCAGCCAGCCACTAGGAGAGAGTGCCAATTAATGATTCCAATTTATTAACAAGCAAAGAGGTAATCAGAGTACCTGATACTTACATACAAGGAATAATCAATATGAAATCATATTTTATTCTTCCAATAGTCCTATGAAGTATAAGGCAGATAACAATTATCATTACTCTATAAAGACCAAGAATCAAGTTGAACAGTTCCTTAAATATGTAAACAGCAAAGACAAACTGGAATTAGAAGTAAGTTCATCTGACTCCAGGTTGATTCCATCTAATCATATGCTTCTCCAACAGAAAATCTTAGACTACTAAAATACCTTTAAATTCTGAAATTTAACACAGTCTCTAACAGGATTCTGTGCTTGAAGATGAATAAATCTTTGATACACTCTTGCTACAGTGAAAAAAGCAGATGATATATTTTTAATAACATACTCTACTCTGGTCTCAAGTTTTGATTTATCCTTCCCTAAATCACCTCCAATCCTTAGAGAATGACAGGACAATATCTGTGTAATGGGATGACATGTTAGATTACAGGGCCGCTGGATTTCCTTGGTGCAGTGTCTTCGTCCTCCATGGCAATGTAAATTTTGTAGCTGTACAATATCAGAATAGTGGTTCATTTTTCCTGCAATTATGTTAAGTATCATAAGAACCTGAGAAATTGCCATTTTGTTATTTATCACTTGACCATAACTGGTCTGAATCAAAGACAAACAGGCCACTCCCTTTCTAGTGAGTAAAATCTCTCCAGAAATCAAGTAACATTTTAAAACACTGCTTTAACAATAATAGGGAAAAGAGAGCTATCACTTAGAACAGAGGGTGAAAAAAGAGACAAAGAGAGGTACTGGGGCAAAGAAAGACAGTAAGTAACTTTTTTACCTTCACAGGAGATTCTGATACACATATACTCCCATTCTACTGAGAATCACTAGATAAGGAGGCTGGTAAAGCCCAGCAAATAAGCAGCCACGTATTACTCTAAACCATGCATAAGTCTGCTACCTCATTCACTCTTCTCTCTCCCTCCACCCTCATCCCCGCCTCTGTAGAAAGATGAACCTCTTAAACGTGTATACAAAATTTAAGTGAGTATGCATATACAGAAGTATTATCTTCAAAAGTATTAAAAACCACTACTGTAGAAACTAACTTTGTAATTCGAGTATCCATGTTCCTGTAAGAAAGCATTTAAAGAATTTTGTACATCTTTGGTAGATTTAAAAAAACCTCACATCCTGCTCAAATTCTAAGTATTATTATCTTGTAACAACAATATTATTTCTGAATCACTAAACAATAATGCTTTCTTTAAAAAACTGCATAATACATTTTATCACGGAAGTTATGAGGGAATATGGGAAGAACAATTTAACATCTAAATTCTAAATATTCATGTATTCTACATGTACATATAAATGTTTTAATGTTTTAGACATAAAACAAAAGTTCCTAAACATTTATAATTATATTCAGAACTGCTATTTGATCATTTCAGAAAATCCTTCAAGATAATGATTTTCATCTGTCAGAAAGTTTTAGAAGAATATAAAAATACCTCCTCAAGGTAGAGGAATCACAAGATCAACTTTCAATTAAAGCAAGAGTATATGATCATATGCTAGTATATACAGCATATAATATAGGATAAATGCCACTGAAAAGTGATCATGTCAAGAATTTACAGCCCAAATTCACAATACTCTTTTATTCATTTGTTTTGATCATATCTGCTCAGGAGCTTCACAACTACTGTAGGGCAATTTAACATCTCACCCCATGCATATGCCTGAAATAAATGTGCAATTTGGGGCATTTTAAATTCATGTTAATGGTTGAGCATACAGCAGTCTTTAACTTATCTAAACTAATACAAAATATCAAAGCAAATTCCACAGCAATTCTACAAAACAAATCCATCCGAACAACTTCTTTCTGAACCACAAACAAAGGACTTCCTACAAAAAGAGAAAACTAGTTCTTAACAGCCCTCCTAGGGATAAACTAGATGTTACCAGTACTTCCTGCTGAGTTACAATGATCCCAGTTCTTTGTGGTACAAATTTTTCAAGCAACCCTGGAAACAACTTGAAAGCTTTGTCAGAACCCACAATGATGTGATTAAGATTTAAGTAAGCTTCCTTCTTGCCAGGTGTCAAGAACTAGCTGGGGAAACATGCTCACTCTGGAAGGAGCGTGTGAGGAGAAAAATTAGATGCAGCAATTACAGAGAGGGTAAAAAAGGAAAAAGAGTTAAACAGATATAGATGAAGAGCTCCTGATAAGTTGATATATCTGCTTATATATCCAGAAAATAGGTAGTTCAACAGAGATCCAGACTGTACATTTTCTATTCATTAAGTGCTTTTTGCAAAACTATTTATACAACTGAGTACAGAATGCACATAATCTCAGAGCAAATGTATCACTACTAAATAAAGCTTTAGGGATATGAAAACTAGGGCTACTGCTATTGGCTATTAAAAAAACTACTCTTCTACATTTCTTGCACTCTTTCTAAGACATTACTGGTATTTACTCAAAGAAGACTGAACGTATGATGCTGTGTCCAAACCTTCCTGTCAACCTCTTCTCATTCCAGGTTTTCCTATTCCAATGAATCTCATCACCAAACGGATCATTTTATTTAACAACCATCTTTCCCCTGACTCTGCACTCCACCAGTATATCACTGATTTATCTGCGAATTAAAGACATAATTACAAATTCCTTTTCTTATAAAATAAAAACTACAACACTAATATGCTTCACTTAGAACTAGATATAATAATTTTAAAATACATATAATTTCAACCTTCATAAGTTATTTATAATTTATTAAAGAACTTGGCATTTAATGAAATCTTAATATAGATTTGAGGTAAGAATAGTTTTTCAGAGCAAAAAGGCCACTACATTCATTAACTTACAAAATTCCAGATAAATTCTTCTTTTTTTATTATTTTTTCCCTTTATTGTTGTGCGGGTAGGGGTATACTGTGGCATTTATAAATGTTCTTACAATGTTTCAAATATATCATACTTGAATTTGCCCCTCCACCACTCTCCTTTATTCCCCCCTCTCCTGATTCCTGCAATAGAGCAATGTGTATTATTTTTGCATTTACATATGTGTGTATACATTTTTGTACCATATTCCCCTCCTACCCTCTTTCCACACCACCTCCCTCCTTCACTAGTGCCAACCCTCCCCTCTGGGCAGGACCTATTCCGATCTCCTGCTTTCAGATTTTGTAGAAGAAAAAAAGAGAAAAAGAGAAAAAGAAAAATGACATTTTTTGCTTGCCTGAGATAGAGGTAACTACACAGGGAGTTTCCTTGTGGTATTTCCATGTATAGATGTATTACAACCCCAACTGAGTTACCAAATAAGCCCTTCTGAGATTAGTTTAAAACAAAACACACAATAAGGCAAGTAAAAGAAATAAAACAAAAAGATTTGCTTCTCTCAGTTTTAAAGTTTAACCCCAAAAAATCAAAACATTCTTTTAAAAACATCACTAATCTCTGAATAACACTAAAAAACTAAAATTTGGAGTTTTCAATCAGACCAAACCATTTTTGATTGATCTGCATACACATGTACAGCTCTCCACAGAAAGGGCTAGAGAGCTTTCCTTTATCAATAAATGTATCACCTAATAAACAATAGAAATAAATCAAATATAACAAAGAGTTTAACTATATAACAATATAATCAAGGAAAAGATCAATTGTTCTTCAGCAGCCATGTGACATTAGTTGCAAAGAAGATAAAGTTAGAATTAAACATTTTTGTCTTTAAAACATTAATAATATTTCAACCAACATTTAGAATAAGTCATAATCTATATAACACCAGAAATTTTCTGTGAACAACCAGTGTCTAAAAATGAAACACTAATGCAAAAAGCTCACTTATAAGAAACAAAAGCACAAAGTTTAAAAAATATTGCCTATCAAAAGTCACAAGAAACAAGAACTAAATTAGCAAACAAATCCCTGCTATCATCTCACTTCCAGGAAGCCTCTCTTCTCACCCTAAGAAATTATGCCTTTAAGAGCAATTATACACTTTTACTTCAGTATGTTGTATCTAAACTCATGTTAGTATTATAGAAGAAGAAAAGCGATGAAAAAAAGAAAAACAACAATTTAAAGCACCCTATGGGAAAGCAACCTCTAACGTGGACCTCTTCAGAATGCCATCCTTTATGAGTTGGTAAAATATTAACACTAAGAAGCTGCATGCAAAGTTCAAGATACACTGTAGTCCACACAGCAAGCACTGAAAAAGAAAATGAAATTTTAAATACACAAATAATGCAAAGGAAGGAGGAAAACAAAAATGAAAGAAAAAATATTAATAATAAAATGCCAGATGTAGCCTACCCTTACTAATAAATAACCAAATACTAATGGGCAATATAATCTAATTAAAAGGCAAAACAATCAAAATAGATGTGAGAAAATAAACAAAACACAACTACATGCTGCTTGCAAAAAATATACTTTAAATATAAAGACAAAGATACATGTAATTAATTGGAAAGAAAAAATATACTATACAAACTGTAGGCATAAGAAGGCTAGAGTAGCTATATAGGTATGAAATAAGAACAGACTTTGGACAAAGAGCATTACCTGAGGTCAGAAGGACATATCACATCAATAAAAGGTTAATTCATTATGAAGAAATGGCAATCATAAAAGTGTATATACCAATAAAAGCATCACAGAAACTGACAAGACTTAAAGGGAGAACTAGACAATTCCAAAACCAGTTGGAGCTCTCACACTTCACTTTTGGCAAATGATAAACTTAGAGTAAAAACAGTAAAGATAAAGATCAGTAGCTTTCAATAAAGACTGATTTGTCCCATGGGGATATTCTGCAATATCTGGAGACACATTTAGTTGTCTCAATTTGATGAGGAGAAGGGAATGCTAGTAGCACACAACTTTCCCAATAAAGAACAATCTGTACCCAAAGGGGTCAATAGTACCAAGGCTGAGAAATCCAACTGCAGATAACATTATCAACAACCTTTACCGCACTGATATTTAAAAACCACTACAAACAGGCTAAAGACAAAAATCACATGATTATATCTATTGATGCAGTAA